TCGAAATTGGTTTCTAGTCTATAACTTTTGATTGAGAAGTCTGATCGAAAAAATACGAATTGACTTGGATTCTACGCCCCAAAATTAATAAGAAAAAGTGTTTTCACGAGAAATTTTGGTGCAGTCGATTTTTGGTAAAAAAGAAAGGTTATACACTGCCTTTTTTTGAGCCCCGAAAAAAAAATTGTCTCAGATCGATCCGGAAAAAAATTTTCTTATAGAATGTGACTAGGGAATGCAATCCCGATGCATTATCTCAATCCCTCAATCTCAATTTGCGGGATTGCTAGATGTTAATCCCGCTCCTGGAGAATGTTCTGGGAAAATTGGGAAAAGGTAAAAATTGAAGAATCTATAACAACAGAGAACCATTTAGTCCGAGTGACAATCTTGAGATCTTTACTTCTAACGGTAAATCTTGAGACATTTTGGTGACAAGTGTTTTTAGGGTAATTTGGACCCTGCTGAATCCGATTTTTCATGTCATCATGTCACCACCTCAAAATCCGGCTGCTAAAGCCTTAAGTAAAGATGGCGCCCAACATGGCGACTAAAACTCAATATAAGATCCTTTTCTTGTTGTAAACAAAAATATCACGATTTTTATTTAATTCGTACGTTTTAAATTTTTTCCAATTTTAAAAAAATTAAGATGGTGACCAAAATGGCGGTAGAAACCTGGGTTAACTAATTTCTTTAATTGTGAAGACAAAAATTTGCATATGATTCCCAAAATGCCAGTATTTTTATGACTTGAGGATATTTTAATAGCAAATTATTGAAATTTTTTTGAGCGCGAAGTGTTAATAATTTAATTTCACAAAGAACGCCAAATATTGTTTATATAGCGTTTAAAACTTGCGTGTAGTTACCTAAGGACCTTCTTCACGGCGACAACCCCAATCTGCTGGCTACAGATGGGACAAACGTCTGGAAAGTTTTAACTAGTTTCAAAAATGTGCGAAATTTTTGACACAACGCCTTCCTAGCTCAACTCTTCACCGTTTAACTTCTTCGCGCGCTTTTTTACCTTGTTCGTATTACTGATACTTATTGCTAATTTTAATAATTCAATATATTGTCTCATCCAATCGAAACGAAAAAATAAGAATGAAATTTAACAACCTATCCTTAGGTAGAGGGTACGGATATTGAAAGGTATTAAAAAAAGTTTTTGACAGTTTTACATCCTTTATGCCTAATGTACATTTGCAAAATTTTAACGAAATCATAGTTTTTTAACTTTGACATTTTTTTTCTGTTTTTTTTTGTAATAAAATCTGGCATAATTTTTGTAGGTTATGCACAGAAAAATAAGTTGTTTAAAATACTTTAATAAAAATTTAGGCTGCTATTTAAAAAAAATTCCATTCCGTTGATGCGCTTCAAAATTTTTTTCAAAAATATCTAAAATTTGAAGGAAATCCGTCGAGCCGTTACCTCGCACGCACGTACATACATACAGACGGAAATAGTTATTTGTACAATATAATTTTTTCTGAAACTATAATCAAAATTGAACAATTATCGTATGCAATAATGAAGTTTGACGCATACCAATCGAGATACGGGTATGTTTCAATTTTAATTAAGATTAACGCAGCAATTGTTTTTAGCGCATTTTTGAAGTTGGGTGCAGTGCTGCAGCCACTTTCTCTGTCCTTCCGTCTGTCTGTCCGTCCGAGGCCTTAACTACTTCTACAGTTTTCAAGATATTTAGTTCGTTCTTTTTGCAATCGGTGAAACACAAACTTGTTCTTCCTTTCCCTTTTCTTCTCAACTGGTCATTTCTTAGCAGTACTACATTCTTTGCTTTCATGACTTTTCTCATAAAATATACAAGATTGATCTCCGTCATGACAAGAAGCTAAGTTTGGGGTAGGTTGAGATAATTTTTTTTTAACTTGAACATTTTCTTTCATTGGTTTAACCAAATCCTCGTCGAGCCAAATTGATCTTCCTTATCCAGAAATTCCATGAGAAAGTCTAAGCGGTTCTTCGAAGGCGATTCCTTACTTCCATCACAAGCAGTCAAAGAACTACGCTGCTATGTTTAAAAAATCTCTTCTGTAGACTTGACTCAACGAATGGATAAAGCCATGTGGCAAGATCAGTGTTTGCTTTTTGTGTAATTGTTTATTGCACCACCGTTTTGTAATGAATTTATCAGGATTCGAACCGTTCAGAGAGGAATATTTGGTTTGTTTCTTTTGCAGCTGCCGAATGCGCTCTTGCCAACGAAGAAGGAAGTCAATTAATATTTTAAGATTTCAGGGCCGTTAATTAATTATTAAGCATTTTAGATTTCCATAATAAGCGAAAACCAGGATAGACAGGAGTTCCAAATCGAGTCGTTTACACGTGACCAGTCTTGCAGACATACCGTGGTGTGGATAACGAAAACAACTGTTGCGCAGGAAAATTCCAATTAGGCTAGGTGTTAATTAGATTGATGAATATTGAGGTTGAAAGCGAGTAATTAATTAAAAACCGAATTAATTGGAAGCGCTTTCGGAGTGAATGCGGCGACGAGTTGGATTTTCCGTGTTCCACTTCCCCAAAATAGGGATATCTTCATAAGGAGAGCCAGAGCCTAAGAGTACCGGAGCCTAGTGAAACCGAGTTATGGCAAAGCCGAGTCGTGCTAAAGTCGAGTATTCATGTGCCGTGTGCGCAAAGCCGAGTCGTCCGTGTCCGTATAAAGAGCACACTGGAGCCTTATAAAACGTTCTAGCACTAGGATCTTTTTACACTCTAACACTTTATAGGGTTCTATTGCGTTTTTAGGGGAATTTTCGAAAGAAATTACCCTTGTGTGATGGTTTTGTCTATCCGTCCCTCCGTCCGATAGCGATGTCAAACCTTCACCGATCGATTCCTACGAGTTCAAGAATCAGTGTATGGAATATGAGCCGGATTAAAAGTCGCGTTTCCGAATGCGCGCAGTTGAAAAATGTCTTTGGTATAGAATACGTAGCGCTTTCTTTAATTACCTATCTGCAGATTTACTTACTTGCGTTTCCTTTTTTGTGTTTTTTATGGATTTGTGTTAGTAACATATTGTAGCAAATATTCTAGAAATCACGATAAACATGGAGGCGCCATTAGAGATTAGACATCGGCGATAAAGAGCTAAGGCGGATGTGACGCAATATTACCGGCACAAATGACGTGTTTATTCTAGAACGTTCGCAAGCATTCTATGAACATTCTAGAACAATTGTCGTTTGCTATACGCAAATCGAATTGCGTTTTAGTTCAGTTTTAATTTAAACACCGAAGTAACAAGTAGTTCGCGCTGTTATAAATTGTCCATATGTAGGAAATAATACTTCCAATTCATTTCAAGACTGTTATAAGTGTACTGTTCATTAGTGGCAAATAAAATAAATCACGTAATTAAATATGCAGTAACCTCGGATTTATTTTCTGTAGTAGTCTATTTATATCACCTGGATTCGGTGCTGCTATATGTTAAGCGCTAATTGTATTTGTTTGTCCAGCACTTACAGCGAACCTCGAGAAGGAAAAGGAAATTTGCCCACGGGTTTTCTGGTGAAACAACCAAGGTCGTATAATTTTGGTTGCCAGGCGTGTACAAGTCACGCCAAAAAGAAAATAAAAATATAAAATAAAAATAAAATAATAATACAAGCTTTGAGAATCCTCGGGCACCAGTGAGTATAACCTTTGTCTTGGCAGATACACATATAGTATTTAATTGCATAAAGCAGTAAATAAATTAGCACTTTTGGTGGCGTAAAACAGTAAATAAATTAGGAATTTGGTGCAAGATTTCACTTAACTAAATGCAAATTTTCAGCTCAACTGAGTAGTTAGAAGGTATAATGTAACTTAATCTAATCTCATTCATAGACAGACAGAAAGATACATTAATTGAATGAATTACATTGCCCGACAAAGGCAAAGATAAATGTAAAGTAGATTGGTAAAGATAAACGGCAAGATAAACTAAGGACAGGCAAGTTTGCAATTCTTCTACCTTAGATACAATGTATAGTTTCAACTAGTGGACAGTTAGCATTCTTGAATTCGAAAACGAGTACTTGCATTTCATTCAGAACACGGTACTTAAATACTACTAAATACTTAAATACAATCAATTTAAAGCTTGCAACGTACAAAGAAAAAGATATCCAAAAAACTCCAATGTGAAAAACCGGACCTAATTCCAATTAATTCGAACTACGTACCTCATTAATAAATGGTTTTCACTTCACGAGATGGATAAATCAAAGGTAGGTAATTAAATTAACACATGTGCCATAACCTAAAAAGGAAAGTGTTAACAAAGAGGAATTATCTTTATCTCAAGAGGAATACAGCAAGGGTCCATTCGCGTAAAGACGCTTAGATAATTAGTTCAACAATTTTCTAATTCAATTCCTGTCATTACCACGACAAAAGCAAAAGTCAAAGTCAATGCCAATGGTACCAACCACTCCCAACACACGAAAAGCGCATACATTCAAAGGAAAGTTACACACCAAACGTTGTCCAGTTGTTGGATTTGATTGATCTCAAGAGTTATAAAAAAGTAAGTTATAACGCACAAACATGTAGAAATTGATTTGCATGTCTTCAGATTCTAAAATTGAAGCATAGCGCTTGACAAAGTTTTAATGAAGATAAGTTTACCTAATGATTCAAAACAATTTACTTTTCACAATTATTTACGAAAAGTAAGTGTTTATTCGGCTGCTGATGACGTACATAAGATAAAATTGAACTGACTTGTAATATTTGAGTATGGCCATTGTAAGCGCATGTAGAGCTAGTTCATAGATTTTTCATTGCTACGTTTAGGTTTGCTCTACAAACCGATTGAATCCTCCCTTCGGGTTTACCAATTCAAGGAATTGCAGAATTTGATATTTGAAACGTATGGTTGTTTTTGAACACTTTGCGTAAACAATGGTGTAGCCACAATAAATTATTTTTTATTATTCTGTTACCCAAATGTTAGCATTTACCAAACGTATGGTGGAAGATTAGGTATATAAAGCTACCGAATGGGTAACGCAGTAAACAAAAACTCAAAATGAAGAGGCTCCTTTTGTTACTTGTCGTTGTAGTGAATTGTGTGACGAGCGTTCCTCTCAAGTCCAGCATGGAGAGAGGTGCCTAAACTGATCAGTGATCATTTAGCGATACCGATAGTTTACTTTTAGGTTTAAGAGGAAATCCGTGGGAGAACAGTGGGAAATTTCAAGGCGACATGGTTTTCTCAAGAAAGCGGAATGGGCTCATTGACAACTACTATCGCTGGCCGTATGGAAAAATCTGCTACACCATTTCTCCAGGATTTAGTGAGTGGTATAATTTCATCATGATTTTTTACAAATATCATTTTAGCTCAACCTCAAGTTGATCATATCAAAAACGTCTACGCAAGTGGATTCAGTGGTACCTGCATTCAGGCTGTAGAGTGCCAAGATTGCTGCAATGGAGACTACGTGTATATAACAGTAAGCATATCGATTTAAAGACTCACGCTAAATGCCAGTTATAGAATAACCCAGAAGATGGCTGCTACGCGATCGTGGGAAGGGTGGGGGGTCCACAACAATTAAACTTGGCCCTTAATTGCCTTGATGCGGGCACCATTCTGCACGAAATGACTCACGCTCTCGGCTTTTGGCATCAACAAAGCACTCCAGAACGAGACGACTACGTCACGATATACCTAGAAAATGTGGAGGATGGTAAATGAGTCGCAAGTGCCCTAAGCCATGCGCCTAAAATTGATCGTAAATTGCAGGAAAAGAAGGCAATTTTGATAAATACGGTTCGGACTATGTATCCAGCTTTGACCAAGGTTACGATTATTGTAGCATAATGCATTACAGTCAAACTGCGTTTTCGAAAAACGGCCAGCCGACTGTTGTTCCGAAATGGGTAAGTACTAAGATAGTGCAAGTCTGTAATTGAATTTGAGTTTTAGCAAACATCGTGTGAATACGAAATTGGATATGCTCAAGCTTTAAGCGCAGTAGATAAACTTAAGATTAACGCTATGTACCAGTGTTAAGAAATGGCTCAATAATAAGATGAGCAGATTTTTTCTTTGTGTATTAGCATTCCTCATACGCGCCCGTAAATGCGCCGGTTGTTTTTGTTTGTTTGTGTTTTTAGTAGATAAGCGTTAGCCTTACGGTGTTGCCAGTTCATTGCTTATCACTAGAAAAGAGGAAACTCAGTTTTTCCAGTGAGTAAAACGAAACGAAAGAGCCGGCATTCACCCGTTGGGGGTCCGTTAACCTAGCACCACCATTTCAAATTTCTGACTAAAAACAGATTGCGCTAGAATCACTATGGCTAGCGCCAGCTAGCGCCACTTTGAGTTCAGCTAGCGCCAGCTAGCGCCATTATAGATTTTGCAGAAAAGCCCTTGACTTTCGGGGGGTGCTATGTTAACGCTAGCACCACCATTGCGTCCGATCATTTCCAAAGATCTAATTAATTCAAAATGTGTGGCCTGTAGAATCCATAATTTCAAACAGTTCCAAGATTGGGCTACTAGTACAAAAGTTACACCCCTTTGAATTTTCTTTCGACAATTCAACTCATGTATAAAAAATCGCATAAGCCGCAGTGAAATTGTCACTTTGACAGCGGCAAAAGTTACCTGCAACTTTTCCAGCGACAAATGCACTAGTGGTTTTTTCACTATTCATTTTCGAACCAATTATCGCATTATCCTTTCCCATATGACTAGTTTGACGTCTGTCAATAATTGATTAGTTTGGTGAATTTCTTGTTCGTTAAATTGTCCTGCCGAATTACACTCGAGGTTTGTATTTAAACCGAATAAATTTGGGTTGTGCCAATTCAAATCTGTTTCCTTTTAGCAATTGAACTCGAAAAACTGTCAACCTAAAAATGCTCCACCTGCGGTGTCGCATTTTTATTAGTTGACAGTTTTTCTCGTCTAATTACTAGGCAACAGATTTTTATTACCTAAACAACCCAAATTTACTCGGTAAAATACAAACCTCTCGTGCAATTATAAGTGAAAAAAATGGTTTCAAGTCCATAACTTTTGATTGAGAAGTCCGATCGAAAAAGTGCGAACTGTTTTGGATTCTACGCACCAAAATTAATAAGAAAAAGTGTTTTCCCGAGAAATTGTGGTGCAGTCGATTTTTGGTAAAAAAGGAAGGTTTATACACTTCCTTTTTTTGAGCCCAAAAAAAAAATTGTCTCAGATCGACCCGGGAAAAAAATTTTCTTATAGAATGTGGCCTGTAGAATCCATAATTTCAAACAGTTCCAAGAGTGGGCTACTAGTTCAAAAGTTACAGCCCTTTGAATTTTCTTTCGAAATTGGTTTCTGGTCATAACTTTTGATTGAGAAGTCCGATCGAAAAAGTACGAATTGTTTTAGATTCTACGCACCGAAAATTAATAAGAAAAATTGTTTTCCCGAGAAAGTTTGGTGCAGTCGATTTTTGGTAAAAAAGGAATGTTATACACTGCCTTTTTTTGAGCCCCGAAAAAAAAATTGTCTCAGATCGACCCGGAAAAAAATTTTCTTGTAGAATGTGGCCTGTTGAATCCATAATTTCAAACAGTTCCATGATTGGGCTACTAGTTCAAAAGTTACAGCCCTTTGAATTTTCTTTCGAAATTGGTTTCTATTCCATAACTTTTGATTGAGAAGTCCGATCGAAAAAGTACGAATTGTTTCGGATTCTACGCACCAAAATTAATAAGAAAAAGTGTTTTCCCGAGAAATTTTGGTGTAGTCGATTTTTGGTAAAAAAGGAAGGTTATACACTGCCTTTTTTTGAGCCCCGAGAAAAAAAACTGTCTCAGATCGACCGGAAAAAATTTTCTTATAGAATGTGGCCTGTAGAATCCATAATTTCAAACAGTTCCAAGATTGGGCTACTAGTTCAAAAGTTACAGCCCTTTGAATTTTTTTTCGAAATAGGTTTCTAGTCCATAACTTTTGATTGAGAGGTCTGATCGAAAAAGTATCAATCAATCAATCAATCAAGTAGACAATAATGAAGAAAAGAATAAGCCAGTAGTAAGAATCAGGAAACGGTCTTAGAACATGTAAATACACAGAGATATAACAACCACCAAGCCCCTTTTACAGGTGATGACTTAATGGCGGCGTGTAGAAGTGTACAAGTACAAGTAATAATCGAAGCTGTTCTTCTACAAGGAATGCGAACGCAGAAGAAAAGATCATGGAGACATCTCCGCGACCTCTGGCGGCGAAAAAAAAGCTATTGTAAATGAAAGCAGTAATATTCAACTAGCTACACCTAAACTGAACGGGTTAGAAAGGAAATACCTAGATGTCGTAAGAATACTAAATCTAAATTTCGAACTCAAATAAACCGTTAACGTGAACGCCCTTGAAGGTTCTAAAGACATTTGGGATTCCACAATACTTTAGAAAGCTCTAGTGCCCTTAAACAAAGCTCTAAAATATTCTAACAGCAGATCCTGCCAATGCTCTTAAAGGCACGATAGCCCCCTGAAGACACTTAAACGCTCTCTCACGCACTTAAAGGCTAGAAGGCCGCTGGAATCCCTTAGAAGCCTTTAATAACTTTTTAAGTTTCCGTAGTCGGGTACCTACTACTTTTAAGGGCTACTAAGTAATCATAAAACGTCCGTAAAGGCTCATGAAATCTACCGAAAGGGTAACGAGGCACAACAAAAGCCCAAAATGAAGACCATTCACTGTTTCGTCGGCACAAAACGGAATAAACGTAATTTGAAAGATCAAAGAAATTGCTGCAACAGTGTACGCTTTCGGCAATACATTCTTGCGTAAATTTATCTCTAGACTAACCTTAGTTCACTTTCCGTTTAAAGCGGTACTACTGTAAGTTTTCCTAAATGGACATGATCCCTAGAAACGTATATTTAAACATCAGTAGAAAGGTGTTCAGCGCGAATTTTGAAAATACACCGTCACAAGATTTCCCAAACATTACGTTACAAAACACTCTCGAGCTTACTTGGAACCGGAAGAAGAGGAGTGATTTTTAATCTCTGGTAATTCAGTACTAACCGAATTAGGTTGTGAAGTCAGTGTAATATTCTCTTAAGACAAAAAGTCTAGGCCTTCTCACCACAACTGGATTAACACCTCTCGTTATGAGGTCTGCTGGATTTGCTTCGATCCGACTTGAACCCCTTTATTTCAATCGGTCAAGGATGAAATTTCGAGTTGCTACGAATGTTTTAAGCAGAATCAACGCCTGTCTTTCTAATCTCCAAATGTCGGTCGGCTTTCACAAATTAAATTTTCTTGCGCAATATTGAGAAAATCTTATATTCCGCGTTTCCACTCCGAAATATCAATGACGAAAGCAGAATCCGGTTAGACTCAATCTCAATCTCCAGACTCTTCAGACCCTTCAGACCCCCCAGACCCTTTTCAGTCTCTTGACTCTAAACACTCGTCAGACTCTTCAGACTCTTCAGACTCTTCAGACTCTTCAGACTCTTCAGACTCTTCAGACTCTTCAGACTCTTCAGACTCTTCAGACTCTTCAGACCCTTCAGACTCTTCAGACTCTTCAGACTCAAATTCTCCAGATTCCCAAATTCCTCAAACTCTGCAGATTCCTCAGCTTCCTCAGATTCCTCAGATTCCTCAAATTCCTCAGATTCCTCAGACTCCTTAGATTCCTCAGACTCTCCCAACGCTTGGTTTTATTCGACATCTTCGACTTCTTCAGTCCGCCTCTTCGACTTATTCGTCACCTTCCACTCCTTCGGACATTGATTTTTTTTGGCCTTCTTGAACTTCTTCGGTCTATTATTTTTCGTACGCGTACTCAGCGTGTTCGGCCTCTTCGGAGTTTTCGACTTTTTTACCTCTTTAAAATCTTATTCCCATTTCGTTACATCTGCTTCCTCAGATTCTTGACCCTGTTGGCTTCTTCGGCTTTTCCTGATCTTTCGGTATCCCCCGCTTACCCGGTTTTTTCGCTTTTGCTTCTGCTTATTCTTCATTGTTTTGCGCTACCGAACTTCTTAACTCTTATTCACTCCTCTGCAGATTCTTTACTCTTCTATAGTTTCGATTTTTAATGTTCTCTATCTTAAAGTTTTGCTTTAGCGGTTGCTTTGTGGCTTCCTCAGTGTTCTTGTCTTTTACGGTTTCCTCGAATCCATCGGATTCCGCAGTCTTCTCGATTTCCTCAGCTTCTTCTCATTCTTCTTTTTTTTCGACTTCGGATTGTTCTACTTCTAAGGCTACTTCGATTTCTTCGCCTGCCTGTTGAACTTTTCTGCAGATTCTTCGGATCCTTCAATAATTTCATCGTCTTTTTCGTTTCCTTCTGCTTCTTGAACTTCTTCGGCTTCCTCGACTCCTTCGGTTTCTTCAGATCTATCGGAATTTCTACTTCCTTTTCGCTTCTTCATTCCCCATTATTCCTTAGTTTCTTATCTCTCTTATCAATGGACTGTCTTTTCATCAAGAATGGATATTGTTGTAAAGCTGCAACGTGCCATTAGATTTCTCACGAGAAATAAGTGTACTTAATGAATGCAAAACAATTTAATTTTTTGTACAATTATTTACTAAAATAATTGTTTATTCCGTTTCTGGTGACGTACATGAGATAAAACTGAACGGATTTGTAATATTTGAGTATGGTCGTATAGTATGGTAGTTCCAAGAGTTTTCATTTACTATCTTTAGGTTAGCTCCCCCTTCGAGGAATAGCAGAATTTGATATCTGAGACGTATGGAAATTCCAATTGGTTGTTTTTTTGTCATATAAAATTCTACGTAAACTATGGTGTAACGGTACTAAATTATTTTTTATTATTCTATTACTCAAATGTTAACATTTACCATCTTACGGTTCAAGATTAGGTAGGCATATAAAGCAACCGAAAAGGTAACGCAGCACATCAAACGCTCAAAATGAAGACGCTCCTTTTGTTGCTTGCCATCGTGCTGAAATCTGTGGCGAGCGTTCCGCTCGAGTCCAGCGTGGAGAGAGGTACCCAAACCGATTGTTTAGCGATGTTGAGACGTCTACTTTTAGGTAATCCTTGGGAGAACAGCGGGAAATTTGAGGGCGACATGGTTTTCTCAAGAAAAAGGAATGGGGTCATTGACACTTACTATCGATGGCCGCAGGCCCGTATCTGCTACACCATTTCTTCAGCATTCAGTGAGTGGGATCATTTTCATCGTGATTTCTTACAAAGACCATTTTAGCTCAATATCAAGCTGATCATATCAGAAGAACCTACGCAAGTGGATTCAGTGGTACCTGTCTTAAGATTGTGGAGTGCCAGTCGTGCTGCAATGGAGACTACGTCCATATAACAGTAAGCATATCGTTCTAGAGGCCCATGCTAAATGTCAGTTATAGAATAACCCAGACGATGGCTGCTACGCGATCGTGGGAAGAGTTGGTGGTCAACAACAATTAAACTTGGCTCCAGGTTGCCTTGAACCGGGTACCATTTTGCACGAAATGCTTCACGCTGCCGGTTTTTGGCATCAACAAAGCAGTCCAGAACGAGATAACTACGTCACTATAAACCTACAAAATGTTAGGGATGGTAAATGAGTCGCAAGTGCCCGAAACCTTAAAAGTGACCGTTAATTATTACAGGTTACCAATCCAACTTTAACAAATACGGTTCCAACTATGTAACCAGTTTTGGCCAACGTTACGATTACTGCAGCATAATGCATTACAGTAGGACTGCCTTCTCGAGAAACGGCCTGCCGACTATTGTTCCAAAATATGTAGGTATTAAGTTAGTATAGAAATGTAATTGGTTTTGACTTTCAGTTAACAACGTGTATTTTGGGACGTGGCACAGGTTTAAGCCCAATAGACAAAATTAAGGTTAATGCTATGTATCAGTGTGGACTTGGAAAATGATTTAACGGTCAGACCGAGTGTAGCATCAAAAATTAGCAAACGAGAATGTTTTTATTTATTTATTGTTCCTCTCCTGTTCTGGGCCCTCAACAGTGACCCCTATAATGAATTTTTAGAGGTGCTTCTGCAGAAGGCCGTAAGTTGTTCACTAGTACTCCGATATTTACCGAGATATTTACCTTACGAATTAGGAAAACTGCAGGAAAACCTATTTCGGAGTAGCCGGCAGAATGCTCGAAACTGATCTAAGGAAACTCCCATCCCTGTCACAGATGAAAAATTCACCTCAATCCAGGTTCGAACGCCCGACCTCCCGGCTATGTAGCCCAACGTTCAACCACTGAGCCACACAGACCGTTTCTTTGTGTATTACTCCCTACATCTATATCCTCTTACGTGCTCGTAAATGTTTTTGACGTTTTACAGGTCTCTTGGATTCACCTAAAAACTCATAATGGGTCTTGCACCAATAGTCGTATCGGACTATTTTTTTTCAACTAGGAATGCAGTGTTTCATATAATATACACTTGAATAAAACAAAAATTATCTCAAAAGTAAATAAATGTATTATGATAAAAATATCGCGTACTTACAGAAAGTTATAGGAATTCATAAAAGTCGGACATCTCCCCTTAGGTTCCTCATAATTTTTTCCCGTCCAGAAATGGCGGTGTCTAAATATTCTATTGGTTAATGGTTTTTGTACTACCCATCCCAACGGCTTTAAGGTTGTTAAAGGTTTCAAGATAAACTACGCGGTCAGGATTTTCCTCGGTTGGCAATATGGATACGTGGTTGCGGGATGGCAAGCAAGGGGAGTGGTAGCAGGTTGTAAGAGGAGCGCGTGGAAAAGCTACAACAGTAACGACCCGATCGCTTAACGTGTTTGTTTCCCTTTTGATTTTGTGAGATTTACAACCATTTCCTGATTTTAGTATTAAAATAAAATAATTGCATGTCATCAATATCAATAACATCGGTAATATTTTGCGATTTCAGCTAATTATTTTAAACTAAAGAGTGATCAGTTACCATTAGCTCTAATTATTAAAACACTGCAGATAATTACTGTACTGTACTGTACAGCGATAATTACATTTGTTTATTATACCCCTCACCTCCTCCCAGACTCTGACCTCCTAGATGGTAGTGCCAGAACCCTAGACCTTTACGTTGTGTCTTGTAGTATTTTAACTTAAAAATTTAGAGGTCGTCGTCTGTCGGTTCTTTAATTTGAAGTAGCACAGAAACAAGGTAAACTAAAGGCATAGTAATTGTTAATTAGGTTTACTCCTTAATTAATATTTGTCGAAGTAGACTCCCTCGGCAATTAGAAAGCATGCGGGCATTTTACCAATCTATCTATTAAAGACATCGTAACTGTTAATTAGGTTTACTCCTTAATTAATATTTGTGGAAGTAGACTCCCTCGGCAATTAGAGAGCATGCGGGCATTTTACTAATCTACCTACGGGCCACCGCATAAATGGCAGTACTAGGCACCGATTGGCCACGCAACCGGGGACTAGTATTAGGGTCGAAATGTCCTGTGATCAGTCGCAGTAAACATTACAAAACCCACTTAAACCAATAGAACTGTTTTTGGCACATTTTAATTCATTTTCATGAAGTGATAAAATTAAATCATACGACAATTATAAGAGGAGGAATTACTTAATCACTTCAGCTAAGTTAATAAAATTCTGTAGCAACTTACGTAATTAGCAAACTTAATCCCAATTACAAATAATTGACGACCGAATGCATAGTTTCACAAAGGCTAAATTTTAATTAATCATTTCGACAACTTTAAATGTTTTTAAGTCGGTCTTCGGACCACGCCCCCAACTGTGGCATTTGCGCCCCCATTAATTGGACAAAAATTAAAACACGAGACAATTATAAGAGAAGGAATTAACTAATCATTTTAGCTAAGCTAATAACATTTTCTAGCGGCTTTCGCAATTAGCAAACTTAATTCCCATTACAAATAATTGACGACAGAACGCATAGTTTCACAAAGGCTAAATTTTAATTAATCATTTCGACAACTTTAAATGTTTTTAAATCGGTCTTCGGACCACGCCCCCAACTGTGGCATTTGCGCCCCCATTAATTGGACAAAAATTAAAACACGAGACAATTATAAGAGAAGGAATTAACTAATCATTTTAGCTAAGCTAATAACATTTTCTAGCGGCTTTCGCAATTAGCAAACTTAATTCCCATTACAAATAATTGACGACAGAACGCATAGTTTCACAAAGGCTAAATTTTAATTAATCATTTTGACAACGTTAAGGATAGTTAAGTCGGTATTCGGACCACGCCCTAAACTGTGGCATTTGTGCAATTATAAGAGCAAGGATTAATTAATCATTTCAGCTAAGTTAATAACATTTTCTAGCAATTTACATAATTACCAAAGTTAAATCCCATTAACTAGACCAAAATTAAAACATGGGACAATTATAAGAGGAAGAATTAATTAATCATTTCAGCTAAGTTAATCAAACTTTCTAGCAGTTTATGTAATTATCAAACTTAAATCCCATTCAAATAATTGACGATCTAGTATAGGCATAAAGGCTAAATTTTAATTAATCATTTCGACAACGATAAATGTTGTTAAGTCGTTATTCGGACCACGCCCCCAACTGCGGCATTTGCGCCCCCATTAATTAGACAAAAATTAAGACATGGGACAATTATAAGAGGAGGAATTAATTAATCATTTCGGCTAAGTTAATAACATTTTCTAGCAACTTACGCAATTAGCAAACTAAATTTCCATTACAAATAATTGACAACCGAAAGCATAGTTTCACAAGGGCTAAATTTTAATTAATCATTTCGACAACGTTAAATGTTGTTAAGTCGTTTTTCGGACCACGCCCCCAACGGTGGCATTTGCGCTCCCATTAATTAGACCAAAATTAAAACATGGGTCAATTATAACCGGAGGAATTAATTAATTATTTCAGCTAAGTTAATAAAATTTTCTAGCAGCTTTCGTAATTAGCAAACTTAATTCCCATTACAAATAATAGACTACCCAAAATGTAGTTTCACAAAGGCTGAATTTTAATTAACCATTTCGACTACGTTAAATGTAGTTAAGTCGGTCTTCGGACAACGCCCCCAACGGCGGCATTTGCGCCCTCAGTAACTAGACCAAATTAAAACAAGGGACAATTATAAGAGGAGGAATTAATTAATCATTTCAGCTAAGTGAATAAAATTTTCTAGCAGCTTACGTAATTAGCAAACTAAATTTCCATTACAAATAATTGACGACCGAAAGCATAGTTTCACAAAGGACAAATTTTAAGTAATCATTTCGACAACGTTAAATGTTGTTAAGTCGTTTTTCGGACCACACCCCCAACGATGGCATTTGCGCCCCTATTAATTAGACAAAAATTAAAACATGGATCAATTATAAGAGGAGGAGTTAATTAATCATTTCAGCTAAGTTAATAAAATTTTCTAGCAGCTTGTGTAATTAGCAAACTTAATTCCCATTACAAATAATTGACGACCGATCGCATAGAATCACAAAGGCTAAATTTGAATTTATCATTTTGACAATGTTAAATGTTAAGTCGGTCTTCGGACCACGCTCCCAACGGTGCCATTTGCGCCCCCATTAATTAGACCAAAATTAAAACATGGGTCAATTATCAGAGGAGGAATTGATTAATCATTTCAGCTAAGTTAATAACATTTTCTAGCAGCTTATGTAATTAGCAAACTTAATTTCTATTACAAATAATTGACGACCGACCGCATAGTTACACAAAGGCCAAATTTTAATTAATCATTTCGACAACGTTAAATGTTAAGTCGGTCTTCGGACCACGCTCCCAACGGTGGTATTGCGCCCCCATTAATTAGACCAAAATTAAAACATGGGTCAATTATCAGAGGAGGAATTAATTAATCATTTCAGCTAAGTTAAGAAAATTCTCTAGCGGCTTACGTAATTAGCAAAATTAATTCTCATTACAAATAATGGACCACCGAACACATAGTTTCACAAAGGCTAAATTAATTAATCATTTCGACAACATTAAATGTTGTTAAGATGTTCTTCGGCCCACGTCCCTAACGGCGGAATTTGCGCCCCTATTAATGTACCAATAGGTTTTGTGATCCGAAGCGATATTAAATTACGTATTCAATATAAATGAAAAGATAATTTTACTAACAAAGTTGCTCGTTTAAGTTGCACCTTTGTCAACAGGCATGCTTGACTCCCTACTGAACGCTTTCTGTATCAATTAAATATCCATTTCGTTTTACTTTCTGAAACTATAATAGGTCGTGCCCAAACATTTTTTTGTTTATACAAATTACGAAATATTATAGCATCGAAACTGCGTCAAATATATATAGTCCGTTTATGGCATTCATTCTAAAAGCTCGCAAATCTGTAGTCGGCTTTAGCAGACTATTCGAATTTAACTGCCGTTTTTTTCTTTATGATTGGTCTACACCCCGTACTGCTCACCCAGACGTTGAGTCCTAGAGCGCACCCAGCCCCATCGATGCCTTAGCACCTTCGGTATTATCTAGAGATAATGGCTGTTATATTCATAATATACTTTAATAGTGTTTGTAGGCTGTCTTTAAAAGTCACAATTCTTAAATAATTTCCCTTTAAAAACTTTTAGGG